GGGTATGCCATTGTGTCTGGATGAATTAGATGTGTCCAGTTTCATGAAAGCAGCATCAAATGGGGCGGCTCTTGGAAATCTGAACCTGGGCAACAAAAAGTTCGGAAGATGAGAAGGAGCTTTCATCATCGGTGAGGTCAGATCAGTCGTGTTCTACAAACAGAAATACCTTGTGAATCCTGGTGATCATGGGTGTCCTTTTGGTAACATAGTTGTCCCTGGTATATGAAATGAACCAAATCTAAACCAGTGCTATCTATGTCTAATCAAACTGCCTAATGCTGATGACATACTGTGGTATATGAATATGGAATTACTGGGAAGCAAACTGGTGTGTCCATTCTCTACTGTCGCTTAAAAACAGACCTGGAAGAGCCTGTATTACCCGTCCGTTGAGCTTGAAGTAATAAGTGGCCACATCAAGTAAATTCAACAAATGCGGATCTTCTTGGTAGCAACTTCACAGAGAAGCTTAGTTTGTGCCCCCCTCTTTTTGGGGGCAGGAAAGGGCACAAGACGTGGCAAAAGGCAAAGTCATCTAGCAACTGGCACTGTCTACAAATCATCAGAAAGAGTCAGCGAGTCCTTTCTACCCGCTGCAGACTTGGCCAAACCCAGCCAGTACATCATGACCAAACAGGGTTAGCCAATCCCCTCTCCCCGATCACGGCAAAAATCAGACCAGCGCATCCTCGCGCGCCTTGTACTCGCGGCTGTGAGTGTCCACATTGTACTTCCTGTCCAACTTGGTCTTCTGCTCCTAGCGCTGGGGTAATCAGAACTCCTCCAGCTGAATCGGGCGCGCCTTTTCTGAGGGTGCCCGTCTTTGGGCAGTTGTAAGGGAACCAGCATGCAACAAGAAAGAAAGAAGTTTAGGGGTTCCCCGATTTTGAAACCTTCTAACGGCCACCGCAGCCTCAAAACTCGGGGGATTGCTGCCCATCCAAGCGAGAGCAGGTCGTGCCTCGAAATCCACTGCGAGAGACTTGGCCAACAGAACATTCAAAGGTACCCGAAACTCAGAGTGTACATCACAACACGACTGGTCCTACGTATTGCTTGGCCCCAAGGCCAAGTTCCAACTGTAGGCGTACTCAGCGCCCGTGGCGTGACATTGCTTCAGTTTCTGAAATTGCGTCCTTGGTATGTTGTCGGGATCCCAAACTCATGGCAGAGGCATACTGACCTGAGTGGACACTTTTCGAGGTCCCAGATCGCAGTTGAATTTGCCAACTACGTAGAATCGACGTACAATCATTCGAGTTCAATCTCATGTTTTTGAATTGGCTCTTTGAGGTGGTTTCTACAAATTGAAATGGCATGTTCTTTTGTTCTCGTAGCCAAATCCTGCTTTGTTTCTACAAAAAGAACGGCACTGAACCTTCCCACTGGCTTCCTTCACCCAAATTCGAACCTGTCCAATCAGATCCCAAGCTCAACTAGTGGGCTGGGCCTGGGGAGGGCCTGGCCGGGGGGGCGGGGGGGCCGGGGGGGCCGGGGGGGCCTGGCGGGGGCCGGGGGGGCCGGGGGGCCGGGGGGGCCGGGGGGGCCGGGGGGGCCGGGGGGGCCGGGGGGGCCGGGGGGGGAGGGGGGGGGGGGGGATAAAACGGCTAAATGGAAGACCCCCTAAATGTTTAACTATACCTGGAGCACCCTTCGTTACCTAAATTTCTGCCCTTAGCCCAAACGTATTGCAAAACCAGCGGTCGTCACCAAAATGTGGTAAGAGTACACTTTTTCCTGCTTCGAGCGTTTTTCCCGAAACCAGGCTGGTCGGTGCTCTGAGATGATCGGTCGCTGAATTTTCGAAAGGAGCGAGCAGAACCCGCCTTGCTCTGGATGGAAGAAGGGGATTTGGTCGAGCGTTTTTCGGGGGGCGAGCTTTTTTTTGGGGGGTCGAGCAGCAGTCGGTAATTCGATTTGTTTTTTTCCTCGTGCCTAAAACAAAGGGCACCTTGGGTGCCTCAGGTAGTGGGCTAAATAAATGGAAAGCTACGCTGCTGCTTCCCACTCCTCAAAGCTCTTGTGGCCTCAGGCCGTGGGCAAAAATCTCGTCTTGCGATCGGTTCGAGAGATGGGAATGAGTTGACCCCGAGAAAAACAGGCCCCGCTTTAGTTTCCTTCAAGGGAAAACCCGATTTGGTAAGGGAAATTCCGTTTCATTCACAAAGCCTGGAAGGTCATTCTCGACCTATTGCACCTGCAAGTCGTGGAGTCTCTATGTAAATTCACCGGAACTGAATCGTCGAAGAGCCCAGCGATGGCGATGCGCATACGCACGCAAAAGTCTGTCACGGGTTCCACGGGTTCCTTGTGGTCCCGAGTTCCAAGAGACCAGCCCGCATTTGCCGTACCAAAACAAATCTCAGTTGTTCAGTGACCCTGGAGAAAAAACAGGGAACCCTTTTTCGGGAAGACCAATTTAGTGGGGCCACAAAAAAAGAAAAGAAAAAGGGGGCCACTGAACAACTGAGAAATGCCGCGCAATTTTGCATCTTTGGTGATTCCACCCCTGAAATCCCCCGGCTGTGGTCCCTGGCCGGCCATGATCCTGGAAAGCACCCGCTCGTATCCCTCTGCGGGCACGAAGATGTCCTGCGCACGTCGGCCGGTGATGGCTCACCAAGAATATGGGTATGATACTCACAATCAAGCTAGGGTTACGCAGGTTTTAGTCTTTGGTTCCATTTACCAAGGTGCAATTTAGTACCACATTTTTGAGCCACAGAAAATATGACCCTCCCCCTTATGGACCTGGAATCCCTTACGCCATACCCCAAAGAACGGCCTTTGGGAGGCCGCTGTGGGGCGACTTGGTGCAAGATAGGAACAGCTGCATCCAACTCGCCGAGCTGCCAGGTGCTTCATCTGCGTTTTTCCTGAGTTCGCTGAAACTACAACTCACGATGGATGACATCTATTTCGGCCGATCCCGCCAACATTCGCTGAGCGAGAGATGGCGAGAGTACAGATCTTTCCCCGGAAACCCTCTTTGAAGCCAAAGACTCTCGGAATCGTCAAATTGCGGCATTGAAATCATCAAGGGTCGTGCAAAAACAAGGGACCTTGGATCCGAGTTCGAAACATGCACGTTTGCGTATGTTTTCCTTCGACTCCCGGTAGGTATCAGCCAAGTGACAACACACATCCCCAACATCACATCTTCCATTTGGTCCTGATACGCCGGGAAAGGCGCTAGTTTGAACTGTGCTGTGTTGCCTGCGTGTTTACCGCTTCTGTTTGAGTGCACATCCCAATCAACGGGGGCGGTGATTCTACACCCAGCTAACATCGCTCTAGGGGCCTTACGTCAAGTTGCGCGTTGTTGTGGGCAGGCTTAATCTGCAAGCGGCCCATGTTGACCCCATGTTTTTGAAAACAAAAAGCAGACAGTCCTACTCATAGGGGGTTGATGCACTCAAAAAGCGGTTATAAACCCCACTAAAACGGGGCACTCCCCTATGCATCAACCAGGGCTTCTGCTTCCCGGCTCAGCCGACTATTCCACGTCCTGCAGGGACAGGCGCCAAAAGGTCACAAAGAAGTCCATGGACAGGCCATCTTCCTGCCACAAATCGACGAATCTTGCTTGTAACCTTGTAACAATCACCCTGGATTGAGTACGTAGACGGCAAATTTCTTTAGCTGCTTTTCTTTAGGTGCTACCCAAGGTAACTCTGGAATCATCTGAATTCCGGAATCATCTGTAGGAATTCGGTCAACCTAGGTGATTTCTGGGTCAAGCGCATTCTTACCCCTTAAAACTCCAAGCCCTGGGAAAGTTAATCTTTTACAGACATATAGCCCATGTTACCCAAAAAGTTGAAAAGTTGTGTTTTTAAGAGGTAAGCATTCCAATATATGGGGTGCTAAGCCCCCAAAACCACCTCTCCTCAGGCGCCTTCGCGAGACACTGGCGGGCGACCTCAGCCAGGCGAGTGGAAAATCACACATGCAAACACACACACACACATACACACACGTAAACAACACAAATTTAACACACAACACTCACGCACACACACACAGACAAGCGAACAAGCAAACAAAACAAGCACAACACAACAGAGCTAAGAACGACACACCGCAAAACAACAAATCAAGAAAAGACACTGCGAAGCAAAGCAAATCACAAAACACTATAAAACAAACACAGAAGAAAATCGGTGAAGAAAAAAGACAATAAACAAGAAAGACAGAAAGACAAATACAAAAAGAAAGAAAGAAAGAAACAATAAAAAGAAAGAAAGACAGCTTTGAATAAAGAGCGAAATAAAGAAGGACATAAATAAAGAAATAAAGAAAGACAAAAAAGAAACAAAGGAAGAAATAAAGAAAGAAAGAAACTAAAACAAGAGCAAGACAAAGAAAGATAGGACGACAGAAAGAACTAGAGACAGAGAAGGAGGAAACCGAAAACAAACAACAAAAAACTAACAAAGAAAGAAAACAAGAAAGAAAGACAGAAAGAACATATACAAACAACAAAGATATAACAAAATCACGACTGAAAAAACAACAGAAAAAAAGGATAGAAACAACACAGACACGACAAAATTACGGAAGAAAGAACAAAACAAAAACAAATGAACAAACACGATACAACAAAATCACGAAAGAAAAACATCAAGCCAAAGCACGCGCAGCAAGCAAGCAAGCCAAGCCAAGCCAAGCCAGCCAGCCAGCCAGCCAGAAAGCAAGCAAGCAAGCAAGCAAGCAAGCAAGCAAGCAAGCAAGCAAGCAAGCAAGCAAGCAAGCAAGCAAGCAAGCAAGCAAAGCAAGCAAGCAAGCAAGCAAGCAAGCAAGCAAGCAAGCAAGCAAGCAAGCAAGCAAGCAAGCAAGCAAGGCGAGCCAGCAAGCAAGCAAGGCGAGCGAGCAAGCAAGGCGAGCGAGCAAGCAAGGAAGGAAGCAAGGAAGCAAGGAAGCAAGGAAGCAAGGAAGCAAGGAAGCAAGGAAGCAAGGAAGCAAGGAAGCAAGGAAGCAAGGAAGCCGGCAAGGAA